CTGTAGAACTGCAGTACTCGCTCGCAAACACGAAACGCTGCCAGCTCTAACAAAAAAAGCTAAAAATGTAAAACCCCTCAGTTTGTCCGTTTCATACACCGATCACGCCGAAAGGAAATTGGACTAGTCGCCTTCCGGAATAATTATATTTTTCGTGGGCCAGTCACCAAAAATTATGTAACAAAATTTGATCCTATGTGCCACAAAAAATGTTTGGATCCTCATTGTTTGTTACATCATTAACTATAATTGGCAAAACGAATTAAATGAGACATTTGCGAATTACATTACCTAGTAATGTAATTTCGCCGTTAAGCGAAAAGTGCAAAACAGGAGTCACAGGGAGAAAGGAAATCAGAAATCATTAACAGTTCATTCATTCTGGACAAAATCCCGTGCAAATGAGCAAATAAAACAACCCTCCTCGTCGAAGGGCCTGAAACGGAGCCATTTTCAAGTCCAGCACTCCATTCTATTTCTTGATACGACTCATTTGCAATCAGATTAGCTCCCAAAAAACACACAGTTTTCTGGCCTGGCTTTTATTCTACGAATCAACATTCTCCACCTGGCTAGGTGCTTTTTTGGCTCCAATATCACACCTCAGCGTCGTGAAAAATTTTATGTCATACAGGTGTAAAGTAATTTCGAAGCCTCAAATTCAACTTTTGGCATTTTCATCCCACCTAGACGAACTAGAGGTACCCAACAAAACGAAGCAAAGATGCTCAAACCGCACGCCAATGAAAACGCCACGATTAGGGCAGACGGCCACAAAGGAGAGCAAAAAGCCTGGTTACTGATACAGTTTCTTTGTGGATAGGCAGTTTTTACATGGTACTTATGCTGATGCGCCGGAACCGGCGTTCCAATCAATGGTGCTGCTGCTGCTGCTGTTCCTTGTGCGGTTGCAACACCAGCAGCTACTGACAATGTCGGCCTGACGCGGACGCTGGACTGCTGCGGCTGAGTGCACTGCATTTCGGCGCAAAGCGATGATGGCGCATCGAAGCCATTCTGTCGCACTCCGGATGGCCCTGGAGGAGGTGTTGCACGTCGCCCCACGCCACCACGGCCCACCTGCAACCGAATACATAATAATTGGCCAACGCACGGGCTGCCCGTGCGAAGATGCGTTTTTTGCATAGTTCCCTGCAGTTTTTGCTGCTACCGGCACTGACTTTTTCAGCAAATGCTTATAGCTAAACAAATTAAGACTGGCCGTCAAAACTGGCATGGAACACCCCCTTAAAAATTTCAATTTTCTAGCTTTCCTGGCTCCTGAGTTAGCAATTTACTGGAAAAAATTTTTCACAAGCCCGCACTCGGGGACCTCGCATACCCGATGTCCGGGTTTGAGCTCACTGAGACTTACTTGGACGGGGAACATCTTCCTAAAACTACAGTCTTTTAGCCTTACAGGTTCTCGAG